CTTCTATATCTATAAAATATCCCTAAAACTTTCTTTCTCTTAGGCAACTTTCTCCCGCTGTATTCATTTACCAACAGATGTCTGTTAATTTTAGTGGCTAACATGGGGGTAATGAAGGACCTTAGTATGTTTTATTTAAAATCACCTCCTAAAATTAGGTCCACTGAATCTTCCTTATGTAGTGGTCTATAGGAAAGTCATAGCACAGTGGGATCTCTTCTCTGCTTTCTCTTCTCCCGCATTTTGTTGTTGATATTATTTGAGCAAATCTGCTATGCTCTGGACCTCAGAACAGGCACTTATGTTCTTAATGTGCAAAGCATTGTTTCCTGTCATTCTTCAATAAGCAACTTTCTTCTGTATTTTTGTCTTGTGAATTACCCTATCTCATTTGCTACACTGGTGAAATCTTAGTATGTAAGCAAAGCTTTACTTGCAGTATATATTATATACTTAATATATAAGCAGTGACCTGCTTATTTGCTCAGGAGTATGCAATCAGTTAGGATGTTCCCTAGTTGGACCCTCTGTTTTTCTTCGTTTGATTAGTCAGATGAAAGGTAATAGAGTGATAAAGTAGTTGTATCTAACGGCCCTAGTGTATCATACACGGAGTATGGCAATTGCAGGAATCAGCTTGAAGGTTGGCTTGGTTGGCTTCTGCTGACACCTACTGCCAGAATTGAAGCCTAGCAAAAGGACACAACGGAAGATTTCAGCACCAAAGCGTCTATTCTCAGTCCCACATAATTAATAGCATGTAGCTTTGGATTCAGACTGTGAGACTTGTACTTAAAGAGATAAAAACAATCCATAAGTCTATGGAAATAATAGTAATAGAGGTCGAAAAATGCAAAGCCTCCAGGAGCAATTTGTCTTTTTCTTGCTGTTTTTCTTGTAAAACTAGTGAAGGACAAGAGTTAATTGGAAGTTACCTTATGCATTTGTTCTTTGATAATTTTACTGGTAGAAGTAAATCAATACTTGTCAAAGGCAAAAAAGTTGAAAAATTGTTTAATAGACCTTTATTTATGAATGGCTTTACAACAAATTCAAGAAAAATTCTCCTCAAAGCAACTCCTGCTCAGTAGTAGGGTCCTGTTTCTTTGTTTTTTTGCCACCCTCCTTTTCAGCTATTTTGATACCCAGAAATCACATACAGAACAAGGAAGTGTGGTCCAAGGACCTGCTTACTGGAAGGTCTTTAGGCTTAGAAAATTGATTTCCTAAGGCCAAGGTCCTGCAATGGATTGTGCAGAGGCTGATGCATGTGGGAGCCATGGTTTGGCCCTATTATAAAGGACTAAGACTGTTGGAGATACCAGAATACTGGAAACTATTACAACATCAGGCTACTTGTGGTAGGGGTGTTTTTGTATTTTGGAAGACAGAATGTTATTTTCTGTTGCTAAAGGACGGGGCAATAAACCAGTTTGAAGAGTTCATCTAGTTTTTATTTGAACTCTAATAACATTCAGGTTCAAGCCCTCAGGAGAGAATCTGGGAGCTCATCCACTCCCGCCATTTCATACTTGTATACTGGATTCTCTCCTGTGTCTTCAAATCTAAGAAACACAGGCTCTCAACCTATCTAGTTCTTCCAAATGTAAGCATAATTACAGGCCAGGTGCCATTGCTCGGTGTTCTTCTCTGTAAGAAGCATTCGTTGGCTTTGCCACCACTTACGTTCTGGACTTGAGCATTCTTGGGCATAGTGGAAATGGCTGTTCGTTCTTCTCTGCGGAACTGGGTATTTGCAGGGAGAATTTCACTAAGGACCAGACAATAAATTGGAACACTTAAGTAAATATGAACATCATACAGATTTAAGTAAGCCTTTAGCAGCTGCTGAGATCACTGAACGTGCAGTCTCTGTGAACATGCAAATCAGTATGGCAGTGAGGGTGTCAGTTGCTCAACCTATTTTATTTTCAGGCATTTATCTTTTAGTATTTTGGGATCATACCATTTCTTCAGTTTGTTTGTGACAGAGCACTGTGGAGAACAGATAAATATTCACAGTAATTACTACTGAGACCTATACAATCAGTTTACAGAGCTAAGCTAATAATTCTTTTAAATTCTCCTCTTTTTAGTGGTCTATCGCACTAAAGATTGATTTTCCATTGACAGTTGCTGGACGCTATCAGTCCTGATGAATCCATTTTGTTGTCTCCTTTAACACTGGCAACAAGTCTCAAAGAGACTTTCGGAATGAGAAGTGTAGAACCTTAATTTTACAAAGGGGTTTGCGTATGAAAGCAGCAGAATTGTTTGCAACATCAGGCCAAGAAACAAGATTTTGATCCATGGAATAAAAGGCAAAGTGTAGGTTAAAAGAAATGAAACTATGTACCTGTTGAGCAGCTTGTGTTGCGTGCAGAGCTTGTCCTTGCTCTGAATAGGGAGGAGGAGAGGAGAATGAAGGCAGCTGTAGAGCTATTCTTATTGGGCAAGGTCATACATGAACAAACATAGGGAACATTGACTTTGCAGCAGCCCAGCCTTTGAACAGGTTATTTGGGTAGTTGTCGTTAGTATTAGAATTAGCGTGTCTGCCCACTATTTCCCTTTTGCATGTTGTTTTCCTAATATGCATATGTTTTGCTAACCTGCATACCGTATTCCGAGTGGCCCAAATCTGGTCTTGTGTACTGTAGGAATGACATCAATGTTAACAAAATGCATCTATTAGTGGTGTGAAATGCAGAATCTGTTGCAATGGCAGCAGTTCAAACTACAACTTTGTGACGGCACTGAGAAAAAAAGATAGTATTGGAAATCACTGACTATAGTAGAAGAGGGTTATGAAAGGTATTCAGTTGGATGTATCCAGGAGAGTAGAGTCAACAACCCAGGTCTTCAAAAAAAATCAGATGATGTTTTCTAGCCGCAATTGGCTCACTTTAAATACCCCTTTATTCAACTTTTATGAATGTTGAACTGTGATTCCTGTGAATGTGAACAGGTGATTCTTGTCCTTCCAGAATATTAAGTTCAGCTGCTGTCTGCCTTTGAGGACAAGGAAGTGAAGAAGGCCTATGAGCAACACCCCTTCAACATACCGCAGTACACATGGTTGTTAGTGTGCGGGCTGTTAAGAACACCTGCTAAAGTCAACAGCAACAAACTAGATGCAGGTCAACAGCAGTTTGGGGGTGAGTGTAGAATTGGCTTAACAAGAGTGACAGATGAACTGTGAGGGCCAACACTGCATGGGACTTGAAGCTGCTCTATGTGCTGAAGCACATACTGTTGACTCTTTGTAGACAGCTAGTATTGCTAACGGTGCTTGTGATACCATAAGCACCATCCAGCCAAGGGGGCTACCCATGCTTTTTAGACACTAGGGTGTCATACCTAAGTGGAAGAATTCTATTCATTGGGAGTTGTGATTGTCTAATACCACTTTCATTGAGCTCACACCTATGTTTTCACTTTCCCCTTTCTCTCTTGAGTGTCAAGATGAAATGTATGGTACTGTTAGTGTGAGTTCAGGCAAAGCTGCTAGACTTGTGGGCTAAGCAGAATCAACTCCAGCAAGGATTAAATAAATATAACACGAGACATTCAGCTATCCTTTGTCCGTAACTCATGGTACTGAAAGCATGCCGCTGTGTGCAGAGTTGTAGCTGAAGGGTGCTAATAACTTTCACTTCCTGACAAAATAGAACATCCCCCAGTTCATCACGGTCTGGTCTCTGGCATGCTGCACAAACCTTTTCTTTCTGTTTAGCTGTTTCTTAACAGGAAACCTTTATCGTTGCTTTTCCAAAGGCTTCCAGAGAAATGAGTCTCTCTGAGAAATAATTGCTTTCGTCTGGGAATGACCCATTTCTTGAGGGTGAATGGCAAGGAAGAGAGGGAATAGCACTGGGCAAAGATCAAACCTAAAATTTTACATCTTGCATCTTGGACCTGAAGCGAATGTCTGGGTATTTTGCCTGGCACTGCTCAGTTCTCATCTGCAAAGTAGTACAGGCTCAGATACCTCCTGTTGCTGGTAATTAATCACTCTTCTGAGGCATCATAAATAAACTCCAACTTGTAATAAGTGTGCTTTTTAAGTAGTTTTGAAAGTAATGCTCCATTTCCTGACTGTGATGTTGCTCTTCACATTGCCTCTGAAAGTGGCATGGTTATCACTCACAGGACTCATTGCTACACTTCTGCAGGAAATCTAATGCAAGACAGATACTATATTGCCTGAATTTTCCCTTAAGAGTTTTGTTACTTGTTTGTCCTGTATTCAGTGACATAACAGAGAACTTCCTTATCCTGTTTGCCAGATATAGAGTATAAGGCTTGTAAATAAATATACCTCTAAGTTACCTAAATCATTAGTTTGCTAGAGAATTGTGATTTTTATCAAAGATTCTGTAATTAAAGTTTATGGTTGCAGAAATTGCTTGGGCAATCAATCATGATGGTAAGCCTGCATACCTGGAATACTTACAAATGTCGTTCATCCATAACTTGCATGTTAATTGGGGTCAAGTCACCATAAAGCTAGATTCCTCTACTGAATATCATCAGTGAAAAAAAAAAACCATAAGGGAATATGAAAGAGATTTTTCTTGACTTTACAGTCATAGTTTATCAAGTGCTTTCATAAAAGCATCTGGCTAGAGAAGTAAATAAAACATCACAATTTCGGTCAGTTTTGATAATGAAAGCTAACTGTTTTACCAGGCTGCCACCTATTTATTTAATTTAAAGTATTTATTAAACAATGACACAAGTGTTTATTTCCCATATATGAAAAAATGGATGGCTCCAGAGATTGGTAGTGTTACAGTCTTTTGAAATGTAGGGCAGGATAAAACAGGATTGTCACCATCTCAAGCCCACTTCATACTTAGTAGCTGCTATACAGTTTCCACAGTGGACAGAGGTGTCCCTATTTGCATTTCTTAGTGCATTTTCATTACTTACAAAGGTAAGACTAAGGAATGGATGGGCATAGACTGCCTATTTATCCTTAAGATTATGGCAAGATTATGTCGCTTGCAATGCTGCTCCCATGGTATCGTACACATAAACAAGAATTGGTAGAACAGAGAGAGAGTAGAAGGCAAGAATGAAAATCTGTCTCATAATTTTCACCTTTTCCTCTTCAAACCTGACATAGATTTTGAAAGATCAAATAACAAATTAAACCATGGAATACATACATATACATAAACATACCCACCCATATATAAATATATATTTGTTTTACTACACTGGACAAATTATTGTAACTGAGAGGTAATGAACATGCACAGCTCCATTGAAGTCATTGGGAAGTACAAGTGCTCAGCCTGTCATACGACCAGGCCTGAAGCCTTTTTTTCCTGCAAGTCTATGATAAGGCATACAAGCAGAATTTTTCTGTATGTGTTAATCATCTAAATCTTTGTCATTTAAATGTCAGTTGCATAAATTACTTTACAGGGATGAATGAAAATGAAAGCCACTGTTTGTATTGGAAAGTATAAACAAAATAAATTTGCTATTATTTTAATTCTGTCTAAACATAAATCTGTTGGGTGAGTATAGAATAAATAAGGCTCAGGATGTTAACATCAGCTATTTGGTTTGCGGAATTGGGATGATGGAGGGGGGAGGAGGTGGCCGTTCTTGTCCTTTTACTCATAGGGCTGGATTACTGTGGCACTTGGCAATACTCTGTAGTGCAGCAACCTCAGTGAGGTGCTCTCTTGTCTTCCAGAAGTTCAGCTTCTGTTTTCCCTGATTAAAGGATAAATCTTTTTCTGGAAAGGTTTTGAGAGAGCTAAAAGAAATGTGAGCCGAGAGTCATCCTTCTGGAGATCTCCGCGTGAACATCCCGCGAGCCCACAGCTACTAGGTTGAAAGTTGTGAACGCTCGCTTTCGTTTTGGTGAAATACCGTTTCAGATGGCCAGCGGAGATAGCGTAACTACCTCCTTATCTACGGATGGAAGACTGGCAGAAAGGATCGCTTGTATTAACAACTTGCTCCCATGTCTCTCGCGTCTCTTTTTGGCACTATCAGCGGCTGGCAGCCGGGAAACACCTCCGTGCAGATAGCTCGCCCCCTTGAGAAGCAGCCAAACCTAACTGTTAGGATGACGAAACCCTGCTGAGGGTAAATCAAGCTCCGGAAACCTTGGGGAGCTCCACTAGCGCGAACGGACGCTGCCTCCAACATCAGCATGGCGCGGCCCGCCCCGCCCGGCCCCGTCCCGGCCACCCGTGGGGCC